GTGCAGCGTGCAGCTCGCTTATAGACAGACGTGATGTGTGGTGATTTGAAGCCATTTAGTATTTTGAGATAGAAAGAGTGAGCATGCGCGGTGATTCACTCATGCTGTTTGTGAAATTACGTCTCACACAAGGTTTTCAAATTACTTTATAAGTTATTTAATGAAGAAATATGAAGGTGAGGTACTCACCTTCAGCATTATAATTATTTCACCAGCGCTGGACAGAGACTGAGACGGTGCCGCTGCATGTCGTGCCAAACCTCTCACGGCAGCATCATCAGCTTGAGATCATTTTTTTGAGATCGGCCTTTTTAGAGACCGCCGATCAAACATCCCAACGTGATTATCGGCCGATAGTGATCGGTAGCCGATCAATCGGAGCACCCCTAATTTATATTGCTTTGAATGTCTCCCATGTTAGGAGACCTTAGTAAAGGAAAATCCGGTTTAATGGATATCTTTAGATGGATAATACAGTGGGCCATGTGTCAAACGATATTTTTAGCAAATAATGACACATGTTCACATTTCCTGTGGATTTTAAGGCAGCATTGCTTAAAAGTTAAGATCCACCAGACTCAGAGGCACTACATTCAAGAAACATCTGTTTCCCTTCATAGTTTATCACGTTCTGAGGACAAACAGTGAAAGCACAATGGATATTCCCAAAAATTACATAATTTCAATTACCAAATACCCAAAAGGTATATGGTATTGACATAAATTGTGTGTGTGTGTGTGTCTATATATATATATATATATATATATATGTGCACATTTTATGTAAAGTATACTACAGATATATACAGCTAAAAAAAATGACTGACTAATCCTGCATTTTGTATTAAACAATGACATTAATAACACATCTTGTCTGTTTTCACAAGGGCAGGGCATGATATAGGGTGATAAAAAGTTAGACATTTATTTATTTTTTTCTTCAAGACTAGTTGTAACTTTTTTAATTCAGTTACAGGAAGGTAGATTGGTCTAATTTGAGTTGCATGGAAAGTATGACTGATTACCCCCTTGTCTACTGTTATTTGGTCAAACTAGTCCTTAAGACGCAATGTTAATATAGTGGCTATGTTTATTTAACTGGCTCATTAAGGATTCTAAAAAAAATATCAAATAAGAGGTGAGGCACTAAAGCCAATAACTTTAAGGATAATTAGTTAATTAATTAATTATTATTATTAATAATATTAATAATAATGATTATTCTTATTAAATATAAAATAAATAATAAATGACTGACTTCATCAAAAAATTTAAATGAAAACAGAAAATCTAAAAATAAAATCAATTCAAAATTGTAATAAATACTACATTATACTATCTACAAAAAGTATATAAATAATACAAAATTAACTCTGACTGCAAATTTACCTAACAAGGACTTATAGAGCTGTGACATGAATTCAAATAACAATTAATATCTGATTCATTTTAAGTAACATCATCATCACTATTAATATTTGAACAATCCACTAACCTTAAGTTGGGAACATGCTATAGCCATCAATGATAACTCAAATCCTATGGCTTGTTAATAAAAAATAATCAGACTGATGTACTTTTAATTTGGACCCGCAGTCAACACACTAGCAACCACATAGCAACATGATAACAACCCCACCCTGCTAACAAACTAAGAAAGCCTTTTAAACCTCTTAGCAACATCTTGGCAAACATTCACAACACCATAACACTCTAACTGGATTTTTTTTTCATGAGCACGAAGCACTCAAATTGTATTTAGTATCTAGTTATAGCATTTTTTGTTTACTTAGCACTTGAGCTAAATTCTTGTTTTAAATAATTAAGTTCCCCTCTTTTTTGGTTCCTTAACCACACTTCATTTTCCTGCCATGTGTAGACACAACAAGCCATTATAATGCCATTTACTCTCCCTTACTCTCTCTTACAAAGGCTTACAAATCTCTAAATGGCTCTTAGGTAACAGATGGTTCTCTGGAGAAGAACTTCTGCACTAGTACAAACTAGGCAAACTCACACTCAATCATATCCAATTAAAGCACAGGCAGCCTATACTGTCCAAGTAAAGGGGCAGATTTACAACCTCTAATCCCAAAAAAAACAGAAGAGAAGAGAAGAAGAAACAACCTGATTACAAATAAATAAATCAATACATAAAAAATCATGTTAAAAACAATTTCAAAAAACTGGAAATATCAAAATAAACTATGTATTTTTGTATACAGTGAATAATTTGTATTTATATCCTTGTAGTTTTATATGAATGATAATTTACAAACCAGACAGCATTCATTAACTATATTGGTTGTGTTAGACAGCTTCTTTATCCCTCAGATGCCCAGATTAGCATTACAGCACTTTGCCTGGATTAGAGCTCTCTCTGAAACAAAGGCCTTATTTCACAATCCTGCCTCTCCCAGCATCAGATGGTCCAATAACACAATTTAATTTATTACTTGTTCAAAAACATCACATCACAGGTCTGTTTCTGACAAGATATTGGAGTACCAAGGAGGCAGCAACTGAATGACTTTGCTTTTATACAACAGTTCAATAAACAAGAAGCTAGTATTATACTTACATTTTAGACACAATACTGCTGGCTACTATGTCCACTAACAAAAAAAGTTGCAAACAAAGCCACATCAGAGCAATTAGCAGCACACTTTAGTGGCCTTTGTTTTGGTAACAAATGATTCCGTGTTTTTGAATGAAATGGTTTAGCAAATGATTCAAGGACTCATTCATACCTTATACCTTGTACCTTATTTACCCCTTACTTTTTATTTACCACTGGTTGCTCCTATGTGCTGACCCTACTCTGAAGTAAGAGTTAATTTAGTCCCCCCCAAAAGGTGTTCCTATAACTAAAATCATTCCCAGTTTCTGCAGTGCGATCATGCCAAAAAAGCAGGTACTTACACCAATAGTTATATTAGTAATTTAAAGTAATTAGTAACTACAGTATATGGTACATATGGTACAATGGTACATAGGAGCTTTTGAAAAGGTACCACCCCAGTGACAGTTCTCTACTTTTTTATCTGAGAATGTATGGTCACTTCATTTCATTCCAGTGTTTTTGAACGAATCAGTTGAGTGAATGATTCAAATGATTACTCAAAAAGACATATGTGGGATACTATTAATCCCATATTTTAAATACTATCTCTCTCTCACACACACCTTTGTCATTTCCCTCACACATGACATCTTGCCTTCTATCTGCCTTTCCCTTGCTTTCTGTCTTTGACAGGTCCACCGGTGGGACACAGCTGGACTTGGTGCCAGACATAAAGACAGGACATACACAGGCTATTCTTCTACTGCAGTCATGGACCTTTCACACACACAGTAGGACTTACTTTATTAGAAACACAAACATGCCCTGAGGCAAAAGGTGGTACATACTGTGGTGTCATCTCTATATACAGTTTATTATGTGTCTAACTAGGACACCTGTCTGCCGTAATGATCATTTATCATTTGAAATTTGAGTGAAATTTATTAAATAAACTTATCAGTTTGTGATCAGTGAATATCAAATTAAGGCTGTGAGATCACAATCAGAGATGCAACACAAAAGCACATATTCTGAATGAAACACAGGATATTTGATATCTATGGTAGCTACTAAACTAAAGGATGTGACATAGCCAATCCCAAGAGTGTGTGTGTGTGTGTGTGTGTGTGTGTGTGTGTGTGAATGAAAATCTGAGTCTCATAGTCATGGTACAGTGACTCACCACAGACTAACCCTCACACCACACAAAATGCAAAAACATTATAGCATTGAAACTTCTGATCTTTTCTGTTTAGTTAAAGTACGTTGTGAATTGTGCCATAATATCCTGCCCAAAAATCCTCTAGGGGTTTTGCGAGTCAAATGATTCCAGGATTTAAGAGTCAAAAAGGGCTCAATTAGTCGCTAAGAACTGAAAGATCCAATAAGAACCAATAAGAACAGAAAGTTGTAAACAATAAATTAACTTTATTTTTCTTTTCTTTTTTCATGCAATAGTGGATTGTGGATAAAGGGGGAATAATTGAAGAATAAATGCATGTTTATTATTACTATTACTTGTTTCATTTAATGTAATATTAGTTTGAGATCTATAATGTGAATCATTAAATTAGTTATTCAAATCGTTTCCCACTGACCACAACTGTGACCAATGACATAATTGCATGTGATCATGATTTATGTGAGAAAGAGTAAAAAACACAGTAATAATAGACCCTTTCATTATTACACCTATATTTAATCTACTAAATGTGGCAGTTGTATATTACTGCATGTTTTACAGAGCTTTTTATAGGGACAAACTGACTATTTAAAATGTTGACATGAAATCAAGACAAAGTGCTCTTACATTTTATTTTATTTTTACTTTTATTGCTTCAGCAACTAGTTTTAGAGCCTTAAAAGTACATTTGGGTAACAAATTTTAGCGGTGAGTTAGCTAAAGACAACGGTGAATGCCTATCATGGCTAAAAATGCTGTCTAGGTAGTCAGCTCACTAGGTTTTGCGTGTCGAGGAGCAACACGCCTTTATTTTATTCCGCTTAAAAGCCGGATCGACTGAGGAAAGTCTTATGTGCTCAAAGTCTTCCACGGGATCATTCATATGTGCCTCACGTTTTGTTTGTTGTTGCAGGCGAAAGTTTTGTCTCTTACAAACACTTCTAAGCTCAGACGAGCATTAGTATAAAAACTAAAATGTAATTGTGGAGTTTTTCCAGGACTCGAGACTGTCCATGGTCCTTAAAACATAACACGGTCATGGCGCAAGTCAAACCATTACCAGTGGGTTAGTCTACAAAATAAAATATCACTAGTATTTCTTTTCAAATATAGATTACTTATTGTATATCTATAATAAACCCATCAGCACACACAAACACACGCAGATCGCAGGCTTACCTGAAGTAGAGATTAATATTAATAGGCATAGTTGATGCGTCAGTAACATAGTTCTCTACTTAAGTGTCGTTTATACAAATAAAAAAATAAAAAAATAAAATAAAAAAGATATTGATAACGGAAAAATAATGAAAACAGAAGATGTCTTCCGTGTCAAGAGCTTTATGTCCGTTAACTCGGTGGCTTTCAGAGGTTAATTTCCATTGGAGGATAGAGATCCGCTACAGGTGGCTTTAAAGAGGCAGCGGGTTAAATAGCCTACGCCTGCAGGGGGGAGGATACTTAGGCTACAACCTAGCTTGCGAAACAGGACTCTTGAAATCAGTGTGGCATATTCATATCTTTTTCTCCAACACACCCAACACTAAGAAACGTATATATATATTAATAATCTTAACAAACAACCAACATGAAATAACCCATGTATGTATGAATGAATGTATGAATGAATTAATGAATTAATGAATGAATTCATTAATTAATTTGTTTGTTCGTTCTGTTTGTATGTTGAATCAAAATCACAGTTACCCATTAAAACAGTAATTAGTAGTAGTAGTAGTAGTAGTAGTAGTTATTAAATATATAATCCACACATTTGGTTTAACGTCATGGTTCTGTTGAGAAAATGTCATTTAACAAGGACTCCTTTATTGAAATCAATGGTTAACGTGGCTAACCTATTTTTAAATGTTCTGAGCTAGACTTGCTATGGGGTGCGCTCTAGGTGTTGCTTTATTTGCATCAGTTTGGAGTATTTGCATCAATGTGCAGTTTATTTGCAATAACATGAATGACGGAAGTGAGGTCAGAAAATCCATCAGGACTCATGTAAAGACCTCTCAAATTTTAAATCAATTGGCATAGAGAAACAAGTGGAAAACTTTTTTTTTTTTTTTTTTGGTGTCCATGAGGAAACTTGCTTATAAATTTATAAATAAATAAAGTTTTATTAATTTTTTTTTTTAATCTAAAAATGCATAAAGGTTTGTGTGAGGAGTAGGCCAAGGGGATAGAAAATACAGTTTATTATCTATACACATTTTATTATGTGTCTAACTAGGAGTCCTGTCTGCCATAATGATAATTTATCATTTGAAATTTGAGTGAAATTTATGAAATAAACGTACCAGTTTGTGATCATTCAGGAATGAAACGGATATTCAGAAAAAAACGTACCATTTTGTGATTCATTCAGGAATGAAACGGAGTATCAATTTAAGGCTGTGAGATCACAATCAGAGATGCAACACAAAATCACATATTCTGAATGAAATACAGGACATTTTATATCTATAGCTACTAAACTAAAGGATGTGAAGGAACCAATCCTAAGAGTGCTCACTCACACCCAAGTGTGTGTGTGTGTGTGTGAATGAACATTGGAGAGTCTCAGAGTCATGGTACAGTGACTCTCACACAAAATGCAAAAACATTGTAGTATTGAAACTTCTGATCTTTTAAGTGAATAGAAAATACAGTTTGTACAGTATAAAAACTTATTTTTGCCTATATATGAAATATCCCCATAATGATAGGAAAACCTGTGTGTGTGTGTATGTGTGTGTGTGTGTGTGCGCGCGCACTTTTTCATATTTTATTCTTTCACTTTGTCATGGAAACAATTCATATATTGTATATCACATTAAACTATAATTAGAAACAGGAGGTGTTATTACCATTATCTTTAAACCTATATCGTCATATTGGCCATATACTGACGCGCACACAGTTAAGGAGTTGGACAATTATAGCACACCTTATTGTGAAACATTTTACTAATTCTTTTTTCATAAAACTAACTCCAGCCTTCAACTAAGATATGTATTTTATGAGGCTATAAAAGGGCTCCTGCTTTGATCTAAAGCATATCTGGAGATGTCAGGTTAACAGGCATATTTGATGTTTGCAGACTTCATGATGAAGCATGAGTAAACCCCAATAACAAATATGAAAAATTAAAACCGAGGAAAACAGTATGAAAAAAAGAGTCTGACGTCAAAGCTTTATAGTTCTGATTCATTCCAAAAACTCATTATGAACTTCACAATAAAGGTGAGAAGCACTCATATATCTCCAATGGAAACAGTCTGTTTGATACTGTTTTAAGGAAGAATGTCTTGACATTTAGTGCTCAAACTCCTTCACTTGTATCAAGTAGCAACAGACACTCCCTTCCTTCTTATCACTTTGGAAAATTTGAGGATTGCCAAGGACAGGATGGCAACATAGGCCTTTTGTTTAACCAGCAGTGTTAAAAAGATAACAGATAAAACTTAGCCATGCCAAGACTCAGTGTCAACTAACATGCCACAGCAAAATGTCAGCAAAAAAAAACAAAAAACCATCTTGAATAGTTGTTGTTTGATAATTTGTTCTATTGGAACATATTTCCTTGGTATTGTCTTGCCAGGCACCTATGTATAATAAACACATTAAAAATTGTACATTTACGAGACAATTTCCATATAGGGATATTGTATCTCCTAGGCTTCCTGATCAGAACATCATGTGATGAGAATATCTTGGGTCCTCCAGGTCTAAACTCTCATCTTCTGAATGTTCTGAACACACTTCATTCAAAGTTTATCAAAAGCTTCCCCTTATGTGTCATTTATGTGTGATAAAGACTGATCTGTGCTGGCATTCAGAAGATGTAAGAGGGTAAAGAGTTCTAGAGTTGAGGCAACCGTATTGTTAATATTTAAAATGGTCATAAAGGAAAATGGGGGTTTGTGTAATGAGGAGGGCTTGAACTCTAATCTGTGCAGGAATGCAAAGTCATTCAGTGTTGAGTGTATCAGAATAGTCAGTGTAGCAATGGCACCGACAGGGATATACCACACATCAGATTTTTCCATCCCAGCTAGCAAAAATATGTTCTACTAAAAACATGTTTTAGTAAAATTCCCATTAAGTCATAAAAATGTTATTTCTGAATGTTCTTTGAATGTTCAAAACGTCCAGTTTTTTAAATGTGTCGTGCAAACATTACGGGAACATACCATGTTATCATTTTGCAAACATTATATGGAAAAGTTATTTTTAAATATTCTCTGAAAAAAAATAAGTAACATTTAAAAATAAAATAAAAAAACACTAGATGGAAGTCCAACTAAAATGTTTCAGGAAAAAAAAACTTTCCAAGTAAGTCTTGATCCGATTTAAGATTCTCCATCACTTTTGTTGGACTCAGGGCAGGTTATTTAGGTTAGTTCAGTGCTGGTGATGCGGGATTGAGGAAGCAGATTTAATTCTGGCTTTACGGCTTTATTGACCTTCACTGGACTAAAATGCAAGCATTTTGGGTTAAGCGTCACAATTATGCACCAGAAGTAAAAGGAAGCTCATTTTGCCCTAGCTTTTATATTTCATGAGAACTGTTTACTTATGAAAATGTGAGGAAATCCAAACAAGTATTGTGATAGGCAGGCAAATCATCATAGAGAGATAGCTAGCCGGCATTGTTCCAAGAATGGCATAGAGAACTTGGGAAATTTGCAGCATATGAAAATATTTGATTGTTTAGTTAAAAGAATATATGTTTAAATAGTAGGCTACATATAGGGTTTTTATAGTAGGTACTGAAAAATGACCTTTTAAGGAGACTCAATAATAAGAGTGTTAATTATTGGGGTACTTTATCAAACCTGTTTATTTGAGCAAAATGTATTAGTATTTTGTGTAGACTTCTGTTGAAAACTTTGAGCAAATTAGAAAACAGCTGAAAGTGTCTTTGTTTTGAGAACTGAATGAATGGTTTGGGAAATTGTGAAAGTTTCTGTTTCAGCTTTCAACTGTATCAATTATGCACTGTAAAAAAAAAAGGTATGTGCTATCTACACATTCTAAACAAAAAAATATGGTAACAACATTACACGTAATATTTTTGAGTAGTTTTTAAGGCTTGATTTCTTTGATTAAATTAATAAATACAATTAAAATCTGCTAAATTATTTAATCTATGACACAATGAATTTAATATTGTTAGTGAAATGTGCTAATTTGTTTTAAGTTGATTCTCAAAAGTCTGTGATTTTGAGTTATCTTGTACAATTACAAGACTGTGTGCAGCTAGACAGCTCAAGTAGGAAAAACTTGTAACTGCACTGGTGTTAGCAAAGCTTCTGCTCATTGAACAAAGCATCATGCGTTATAATGTTAGTATATGCAGTTATCCACAAACTAACCATAAGCTCTCCTCTTCTGCACAGTGGTAACGGCAGAAACTTCAACATAACAGAAACTCTTTCAAATGTCAAACATAACTGAACATTAAACATTAACAGATGTTTCCATTCACTCAAAAACACATAAAATAGTACTTAATTTCAATATTTACCCTCCATATCCAGTCATATGCAAAGCATGCTAGGAACTAACAACCACTGCCAAAATGAAACTGCACAATTGAGCTAATTCTCTTAAAATAAATAGATAGCCTTTCTTCTTTAATTTTATCAGCTTAATCAGTTTCTCAATTTAAGCTTCAAAATTGCTTAGGTTTCTTAAAATCAAATGAGGAAAACATATCTCTTAGTTTTATTAGTGAAATGTTCTCAATATGTTCCATACAACATTGAACCACAATTTCTTTAATAAAATATACACACTATTTTTAATTATCACATTAATTTTTTTAATGAAAATTGTAAGGCCCGTGATTCATTTTTTACAGTGTAGTGTGTTAGCAATTAAGAAAACCTGTAAAGTGGTTGGAACATGATTGAGTTGGGGGAGGGGAGTTTTCCAACTTGTATAAGCAGGTATTTACACTTAAAGTAAAGTTGTCTTACTCACAACATGTATTTACATTCAATGTGTGAGTCAGTTGTTACTGGTTATTGACATATCACAGGAAGTAAAATGAGGAAACAGGAACAAAAATAATCGTAAAATGGATGTTCCCTGAAATGTATCAAAAACTAGTGCTGTCATTTTTCTTTTATGATGCCCATTGTCTCATATCTACAGCTCAAATGCTCTCAATAATAGACTCTATGACACATCTGAACAATTGATTTGATGTCTTTTCCTCAAGGGGTTCTAAACCATCAGTAAACCATGTAAGTGGT